GCGTTACTATGACGCAGTACCCCTGTCCCTGGTTCAAACTTTAATCGCCCTACCCTCACTGAACTTCCGAACTTTGTCCCCTGGGGTATAAAAGCACTCCCCACCATTACCGATCATCATTTACCGACCTCCTCCACGGATCCCTTCTACCGACCATTATTACCGATCTCCGCTGCGACTTACTGATATAGACCAATATTTCTATTCTGGGGAGCTTCGGCTCCCCAGAGCCTCACCTACCTTTGTATTTAACCTTTTCATTCTACTATGTATAATAAACGTGCATATAGGACGCGGCGTGTCACTTATACACACACACACACACACACATATACACACATGCACTTACCCACGGGGTACTCACTAGTCCAAATAAAATTAACAATTAGGGTCGCGAAAGAGCACACATTTTAGGGATAGGAGCCCGTGCAGGCATGTAGATTAAGTGCCCAAAATTTAAGTGCCGTAGCTTTCGTAGGTCTTGAGATGAAAAACCGGTACAGACGGACACACAGACAACCCCTCGTCAACATGCGTTTTCTGCATTGCATAGCTGCAAAAAAACGCATAAAAAAAGACCTGTAAGTCGGCAGTAGTGACCATCGGACCGAGATTCGAGATGTTCACAATGCACATATTATTGTCACGTGAGGAACCGCTAAAGTTAAAGCTGCTTTGCGTACGCTGAAAAAAAAAATAAATTATTTGGTGACCAAGATGCCTAAAAAGATAAATTTTGAACAGCACTAACTCATCGACAAAGTAGAAGCCCTATACTTTCCTACCCAACAAAAGTGCCTACTGATGATTCTTTCTTAAAAACCCATAATAATCCTAAATCGCAGCAAGCACCATGCAGCCGGTGCGGTAAAATCAACACAGACAGGAGTTCGCTTACATCAAAACACTGTTTCCCCCTCCCCTCCTCCTCCCCCCTATACGCTGGATAACAAGCAGCATGTAACTTTTCCATGTTATTTTGCCAATATCCCGTGGTCCTTCGGCTCAACTGAAGGTGGTGAACAGGTAACACAGTGGAGAGAGAGGCCGGAGAGGGGGGGAGGGGCGGGGGAGGAGGAAGGAAGAAGGCACGAGAGAGACGGGAAGGAGAGGGGAAGTAAACTAGGTTACCTAAGAATATTGCCACGGAACGATCTCTCTGGATATGCACCTGTAAGTGAGTTTACTCCATTATCAAGGAACGAACTCAGTCTCCTCCAGGAAATCGAGGGGACATTAAGAGTCAGTCATTTTTTGTCGAAAAATCAAAAACATCATAACACGGAAAGGATTTTGCTTGGCTAAACAGAAGAAAATTGCAAAGCCGGGTTTACTGCCGACAAGAAATGGTTCCAACAAATCAGTTCCACTCATCACGAATCTAATTATTCATTCTTAGAACAGATACTAAAAAGGCTAATAAAAAATACAAATTTCAATTCTCTGTATGACCAATGATGACGAACAAGTTGAAAAATTCTATGCTGAACTCGCGAACCCCCTTAATCGTCATGTCTACATAAACAAGGACAATTTCAACAGAGAAACAGGAAAAAGAAAAATAAATAGCAACGCGCACCAGACTAGCCGGTGCGATCATGCATTTTGTGCAATTCAGCCCATCAAACGATTGCCTATCAATGATTTTCACTGCTTTGTACTTTTGTCTATGCAAAAATAGTTCAACAATTGGAAATAGTTCCTGTTAATGATTTTCACTGCTTCGTACTTCAGTCTATGCAAAAATAGTTCAAACATTGGAAAACATTTAAAAATTTCACGCACCTGCGCATGAAAGCTGAATTCGAAACTTTGAAGGATGAATATCTTTCCGTGATTCCCGAGTTAATAGTTTAACCGCCAAAATTCTCACGAGGCCATAAGTGATACTCAACAGCGAGGGAACGCTGAATTTGAATGGGCAAGGTTGAGCGTGAGCAAGAAGTTATTACCCTAAAATTTCAGCTTCCTAGACCACGTGATTCCTGAGATAATAATTTACACGTAAAAACTTTCACGGGGCCGTACGTGTCACCCGCGGGTACGAGAAGAGTGAATTTAAATTTGCCGCGCCACCCGTTAGCGGGGAACACTATACCAAAATTTCAGCCGCATAGCTTTTGGGGTTCCCGACTTGAAAGTGCGGGACAAAATGTGGGACACACGCACACACG